ACAAATATGTCTTATCTCACAGTTTCTGTGGCCAGGAATTTGGGGACAGCGTGGCTGGGTGATCCTGGTTCCAGGTTCTCTATGAAGCTATAACCAAGCTATACACGGAATCTGCGGTCACCTCAAGCCTTGACTAAGATGGAGGACCTGCTTCTCGATGGCTGGCTTCCTCCATCCCACTTCCTGCCTTCCTCCCTGTCCCACTGATGGAAGCAAAAACTTGCTTTTAAATATTTAAATCTAGAATGTCTCTTTTAAAATAACAAAAGCTAAAAAAGTAGATCTGATGGAGGTAGAGAGTAGAATGGTGGTTACCAGAGGCTAGAAAGGGAAGGAGGATGGGAGGGATAAAAAGAAGTTGATTAATGGGTTCAAAAATAGAGTTAGATAGAAGCAATAAGTTCTATTATTTGATAGCACTGTAGGGAAATTATAGTTAACAACAGTTTATTGTATATTTCAAAATGGCTAGAAGAAAAGAATTTCAGTGTTTTCAACAGAAAGAAGATAAATATTTGAGGTGATAGATATCCCAGTTATCCTAATTTGACCATTACACATTGTATATATGTATCAAAATATCACATATACCCCCAAAATATGTGCAACTATGATATATCCATAAAAAATACAAAAGATAAAATAAAATTACAAAAGTTATCTTTGCATGGTTTTCATAAATGCCAAGGGAATCTAAAAGAAGCTTGTACTTTTTGGTGAGAATTTACAAAAGTTTGTTCATTTAGGAAAATCATATCATTCACAACACCACTTACAGTATTTGAGTTTCCTATACAGTATATCTATATCCTACTGCAATTATTGCTGTTACATTCACAGGGATTCTCCCTATGAGTATAAGCACTTGTCTACTTTACTGTGTCTTTTGGTTTAGTCATACTTGATCATTTGCATATTGGTGTGCATATTCTTTAATTTATATTATTTCTTCTAATTTCTCATTTATATTGCATAGGAAATTTTGTTAACTTTTTAAAAGAAATTATGTGTGTGGTTAGGTTACGTTATCTGTGTCTATTATTTCAAGATTGTATCAGAGGCATTGTAAAATATTTGTTATAAAAAGTATGTGTTGGGTAAGATGGGCTTAAGAACGACTGTCATACCAACTATTAATGCTATGGCACTGTTAATCACCTTATATAAGAAGTTCTTAACATTTATAGGGAAATACTCTAGAACAGATCTGTCCAGGAGAAACTTAATGTGAATCACATGTGTAATGTTAAATTTTCTAGTAGCTACATTTAAGAGTGTAGAAAGAGATGAAATTAATTTTAATATTTTTTTTTTTTTTTTTATTATTACTTATTATTTGTTCATAATGATTACTACATTATTGAGATATTTTTTGTTGTGTTCTTACTATCTTTAAAATGTGATATGTATTTTGCACTTATATAATAGCGTGTGTCAATTTGGATAAGCCATTCCAAGCACTCAACAGACACTTGGCTAGTAACTATCCTATTGGACAGCACAGTTCTATTCTACAAGTTCCATGAATAGAGAAAATCCAAGAAAGGGAGTAAACTGTGAGCCATCCTTACTTTATTAACAGGGGCAAATGACTGTTGCTGCATTTGTCATCTTCCTTCTCTTTTTTGCAGCATTTCAGCTCAAAGTCTTGATGATCCAGCTCAAACGCAGACCATCTGCAGCACTACTTCTGTGCCAGAGGCTGCGAGGACAGGTGTAGCAGCCGCTCAGTCAACACAACCAGCTGCCACACAATTCAAAACTAGAAAGTCAAGAAGGAGAATTCTTCTCTTGACACCTGTCTTCATCTCCCTCTCCTTTGTCCTGAGACTCTCGGATCCCTCCAGACACTCTCCCTCTCCAGCTGCCAAGTGCAAAGCTCTTTTCCCCAAATGACAAAGGCCCCAAACTTGCCTGTGTCATCTCCTTTTCCACTTTATGTATCCAGCGTTTTGCTGATCCTCATTTAGCTGATAGCCTTGTTGTTTCCGACTGTTAACAAGCTCGTTCCTGATCTAACCTATAGCCGGAAGTATTTGACCCCATCGTAGGCTAGAGGTTAAAACCACGCACCATAGAGAGCAACTCACCTGAGTTCACATCCTGTTTATAACACTTGGAAGCCATGTGATCTCAAGAAGTAGATTAAACTCTGAGCTACAGTTATCTATAAAATTTAGGTGAAAATTATACCTCACTTCTAGGGTTGTTGTGAGACTCAGCTGAGACTTAGCACAGCACATGGTGAGCAATTAATAAATGGAAGCTCTTAATATTATACTATTTCCTCAGTCTATATAATACCTTCCCTACTTTCAGCCACATGTCCAAATCCTAATCATTTTTCAAAGTCTTTCTGAAGTCCAACCTCTTCTCTAAGCCTTCTACAAACTTTATTCTCTCTTTTTCATGTATTCCTTGAAAACACTAACGTAAACTTATACTGATATTGACTTCCAGTACAGGACAGATAGTGGTAATTTAGTGAATTCTTTAATTAATTAATTGATGATGAAAAGGGAAAGAAACCTATAGCAGATGCTGCTGATACCCAGCCCCACTTTTCTCAACCCACCTGAGTTTGTTCACAGTAATGGTGGACAGTTTTACCATGCCCACTGCCAAGCATGTTCTACATGGTTCTGCAGAAGTTCTCCAGTGGGATGGAGCCCCAGCTGCCCACAACAGTATCCCACTTATTAACATGCCTTTTGCTGGCTTTGCTCCCTTCCCTTTCTCATTTCCCTCATACTCCCTTAAGCTTCCTGGTATCACTTCCTAAACAACCAAGCTGCATCAAATTTTGCTTTTGGGGAAACCCCAATAAGACAAGAAATAATGTTACTGAGTCCATATTGAATGCCAAGAGCCATGCTAGGCATTTTACTCTCATTATCTTCTTTCACATTCTAAACATTCTTGTGGGATTATAACTGAACCAAACTGCATTTGTTTGCCTCTATACACTGGAAAGTCAAACACCAAAGCACCGGGTTTTTTCAGTAAGAAAGGTTTATCGTCAGGCAGCCAAAATAAGGAGACAGGAGTCAGACTCAAATCTGTCTCCTTGAGCTGGGGCATTGGGGGCACGTTTTATAGTCAGAGGGTAATGAGCTGTGATCTGGCTGGATCTTGCCATGTGGTGATGCCAGGAGACATGCTCTGACTGGATCCTGCCTTGGGGTGATGCCAGGGCTTGATCTGATTGGATCCTAGATTCTGCCACGTGGTGTCCACATCTTAATTCAGTCCCCAGTCCTCCGTCTAAGCACTGAGGTTCCATCCATGGTTGCATGCTTGGTTCATCTGAGCATGCTCAGGTTATGTGATCTTCAACCTGGGGGTCCATGGCAACTGAAAAACAACTCACAACTTAGCTACATGAAAGTTGAACCAGTTTGATTTGATGCAGTTACAGGAGCGGGTATGATTATACTCATTTTGTAGTAACAAATTAGAAAGCCAAGACTCAAAATAATTAAGTGACTTCAAGGTTACAGATAATATTACATAGCAAATTTAGCAATCTAAATATTTCTCTATGTGCTCATTTCTGAATTAATAATTGTCTAGAAGAAGAATGAAACTTTTTTATTCTGGGTAAAGCTAAAAGAAACATATTGCAGACAATAGATGTCTTTGTTAGGTTTAGCCAAAATCTGTCAAACCAAGATATAGAAACAGAATATAATGAAATAGTATCTGGAGAACATTGTACATTGAACACTTAGATGTCATTTAAATGCCTTATTTATTATCCACTTTCTTTATTCTGGGAAATAGAGACAGGAAGATATAGCAGTGGAGAGCTACCCGAATGAGTCAGATTTCATAAGAAGGTATTAAAAGATGAAACTGATTTGGCCTCTGTGACATTGGAGAAAGAATTAGACAAAGGGAACTTTTTTGAGTGCTTAGATACTGAAAAGAAAGGCTTAGATTGATGAGAAAAATTATTAAGAAAAATTTCCCTTTCATATTAAAATTCTCATTCAGAATTAATTTTTTAAAATCTTCCCAAGTCACACAGGCCATATACATAAGGGTGATTGAATTATAACATGAAATGTCAAATCCAATAAATGTGGGGAAGGAGATAGTTGGGCAAATATTAAAGGAAGTGAAGGATGAAGAGATATGTTTTTAATATGCAGAGGCAAGCATGACTAATGCATTTCCCAGATTTTTAGAAATTATTTTAGTCAAATTAGAGAATTTAGAAATATTCAGCTAGAATTGCAGAGTATTACCCAGTTGAACTAATGGATGTTACTCTCTGTGGTCCTATGATCTACCTATCGAGTATATAATTCTTGAAAAATAAGGATGATAAGTTTATATGAGGTGGAACCCATCATCTTCATAGAAAATAGAATTGTGCTGTCAGTTTTCGTGAAGTTTGAAAATGTTTGATATTTCTATTAATCTCTGAGATAACCAGACAAAATGTATGGTAAATCTTTATTATGTATTGCCTCTGCTATTGCTATTGTTTGCCTTTATAACGTAACATCAAATGATGAAGAACTGGTCAATTTGAATTAGGCATTATAGTATGAGTCCTTTGAATTTTTGAATGGTTTTTTTCACTTATGTATTACCCAAAAGTATTACATCATATCATTTGCTGTAAATTTATTAGCTCTGCTATGAATTCGTTTCATTTCGAACCCTAGACAAAGTTATTTGTAGCCAAGTAAGCTTTTATAGCACGTCCTATAAGTCACATTTTAATAAATGTCATTTTCTAAGTGCATTACCTCATGTTTTGGCTACAACCCAGCTGAATCCTGAGAGAATAAGAGAAATGTGCTTTTTGACTGGTTCATCCATATTTTATTTTACTTTTCATTAAGAAATTACTCTTTGAAGAAAATCAATAATCTTCTGTGACTGAAGGGAGAGGTCAGTGTGTTGCAGTGGTGCATTTTAATATCTCAGATCAGACTGCCTTTGCCAGCTGTTGCTGATAGAATCTTTGTCCTTTCTTGTTCCTGCAGCCTGGGTACATGGCGACCCCAGGAGAGTGGCTTACCCTACAGACAGCCAGGGCCACTTCTGTGGCCAGAAGGGCACCCCCAATGAGTGAGTATACCCACCTTTGCTTTTGGTTTTACTGTCTAAGCTGGAACCTAGAAATCACTGTCACTTTAATCCTACTAGATTCCTTAAGAAGACTGAAATTCGTAAAGAAGGCCTTCCCTCTCTCTTTTCCTACAGATAGCTGTCATACTATATGACTTAAGACTCGATGTCATTGTTACGCAGCATTTTATTAGAATGCGTGGAGACTCTGCTTAATAAAAATATAATTATAATGAATGAGTTGGACCAGCAGTTTTATCAGAATCATATTTTTTAAATGCCTTTTAAAATGATCTATTAGAAGACTGAGTTGTGAGTCACTGTTAAAAAGCTAGACAGTGCAGTTGTTAGAATTATTTTTGTCACACTGCCTACTGATAAATCATTCCATCTTTCAAAGTGAGAATCACACCCTGAAAGTCTTTAGTGCTTGGTAGATTTTTCAAGGCAACTCACACTGCTGTGGACAAGGCCCTGAGTAGCTAAAACAAACAAGGAAGAATGTTCCATCAAATTCCTTTCTAATGTTAATTAGAAGTTTCCATTTCTGAAAACAAGTTTTCTGTGTTTGTTTGTTTTTTAGCTAAAAAACAAACCAAAAAACCCCATAAATCTCAGATTTTTAGAAAATTTTCTCTCCTCTCTCACTGGTCTATTTCTTTTCTGTAGATACCTGGGGTTGTTGCTGAATCTTCCGGTTCTTTAAAACCAATTCAGTTTTTATAAAAGCTGGTTTGGGATGGTTAAAAAAAAAAGAAAGAAAAAAAGCAACAAAAGCTGCCTCCCCACAAGAGCAACGACAAAAACCATGGCTCAGAATGCTTCAGTTAAGTTCTCTATGCTGCCCACTTATAACTGTGGAGCTTATTATTCCAAGAGATACACAGATTAAAAAAATAGATCCATTCTACTAAGTGAAGTATCCCAAGAATGGAAAAATAAGCACCACGTGTACTCACCATCAAATTGGTTTCACTGATCAACACCTAAGTGCACAAATAGAAATAACATTTATGGGGCGTCGCGAGGGTATACACATACCTAATGGGTGCTGTGCGCACTGTCTCAGGGTTGGACACGCTTGAAGCTCTGAAGCGGGAGGTGGGGGGGGCAAGGGCAATATATGTAACCTAAACATTTGTACCCCCATAATATGCTGAAAAGAAAACATAAAAAAAAAAGATCCAGGAAAAGGTTAACAAAATTCATAAAGTAGAATTATCACAGATCATCAAGAAAACTCAGAATTTTCAGGTGGGGGAGGAAAATCCTTAATCATGCATGTCTTGGTGAGTTTATAAGGGACAGATTAACTTCTACAAAAGGTCCTCATTGCCTATAAGAGACAAGTGGACTACATTCTGATCCAGAATGGTAATTCTTATTTTAACTTCAGTAACTCAGAAAACCTGAGACATTGCCAACATGCCAACAAAACCTGCACACTATGAAGGACAAAGAAAGCACCAGTGGTAAAAGAAGTCATACAAATCTCTAGTTCTTTAAAACAGGCTATTTTTAAAAGAGCTTTTGTAACAATAAGTTTTCCAGACCTAAGCCAATGACCCACTTATTTCAAACAAAAATGTGCCACCACAAATTTCAGTCCATAAAGATCAAAGACAATCCTTGTTTAACAGGTAGATATGTTCATTAAAGTATTATTTATAATAACAATAATGGTAAACTATGCAGATATCCAATATGTGAATAATAAATTATGGCCCACCAAGTAAATGAAATATAATGGAGCCATTGAAAATTATGTTCATATGTTCAATAGTTGATTCTGTTGATTTTTCTTTATAGTTTCTGGATTTTATGTCATGATTATAATTGCCTTCCTCCTCCTGAAATTAATATTCTCCTATATTTCTCTAGTATTTTTATGGTTTCCTTTCTTATAAATTTCTAATTTATTTGGAATTTCTTTTTGTATATGGACTGAAGTAGAAATCAAACTTTTTTTCCAAATGCACAGCCAATTGTTACAGAATAGTTTATTGAATGATGTGCCCTTTTCCTCTTCTGATTTCTAACAAAATTATTATATAATAAATTTATATGTTTGTTTCTGAACAGTCTGACCTGTTCTAATGTATATTTTTAAGCCTCTCAATTGTTTTAAATGTATATTGATTTAAAATTTTAATAAGCTCCTTTACATTGTACTTAGTGTTTTAGTAGTAAGTAAAAATATTTTTAAGTATAGGGAAGGCCATAGAAAGGTGTTCAACAAAAATGATCCAATCCATTTTACATTTTTATAAGATCATTCTTTTTGCTTTTTTATACCTTGTTGAGCTTTCAATTATTCACAATAAGCATGTATGCAGAAAAATATTGAACTTTTCTCATTTTGAAAAAAATTAATGGCAGATTTCATTATAGATATGAAATAAGATTATGAGTAATTTTTATTTTATTTATATGCTAATATGCATCATAAATTTCTATCAAAAACATGTATTACTTTTATATTTCCCCCAAACTTTCCAAAAATAAAGAATTAATAGAAAAGTACATAAGCTAAGGCAATGGATTATCTTACTTATTAAGGCCCTTTTTTAAAAAAACAGCCTAACATTTTTTTTAAATCAATACATACTCTGGAGTCAAATTCTGACTTTACCTCTTTATGGTATTGACCCTTGGGCATGGAACACAACCTATCTCAGCCTTAAATTTCTGATGATGATGCAAAAATTAAATGAGAGAACAGTAATTCAGAAGAAATTCGTGTTGTCCTTTCTGTGTGCAAAGCAATCCCATGTTCCACACTACACCATTTGTTGAGGTCTTCCAAAGGGTCAGTCACTATGCACTACGCTAGAGATACTCCAGTACGTAAGACACAGATTTCGTTCTCAAGGATCTCTGGGTCTTCAGGGATAGGGTCAAGAAAGCCGTGGATTTCAGTCTTCAATACAGTGGAAGCCATGGATTTCAGTGTTCAATACAGTGTGCTATCATCGTAAGACTGAAGTATAATGCTGTCAATCCCACCTGAAGCAGCCCCCACACGCACCCCCACCATTCCTTTCCCTAGTTAGCCTCTGGCACGAGACTCTGATTTGCTGTCATGAGTACTTTTCACTGCCTGAATTTATCCTGATTATTAAGTTGTTAACTTTGTTTGTCTCCCCCCACTGGGCCCAAAGTTCTTTGAGATCAGGGACATTCTCTGTCATTTTCACTGTTGTGTCCTCAGCACCTACAACATTGTCTGGCATTGTAGTAGGTGCTCAGTGAACTCATTGTTAAATGAATGAGAATAAAGGGGTAAAACAAATAAGAATGATTTGCCTCCCAGGGGGAGATCAGTGTAAAGATTTTATCAGAGCTTCCTAACACCACTGCTAAGTACATCTTGGTATTATTACTAAAATTAGGAAGCTGAAATTCAGAAAGATGAAAGTACATGTTAAAATCCAAGTGACTGCTAAATGGCAAAGGCAACACATTCTAACTCCAAATCCTGTGCTCTTTAGGCTGCACGCTGACACACTGGTAGTGAAATTGGTTTTCCCTGTGACATGTTTAACTAGGCCTAAAAATCTTAAACATAGCTGGCAAAAAGTATCATTAATTTTTTTAGAACTCCAAATAAATTTGTATGTGTATGTGTGTGTGTGTGTGTATATTTCTCAGAATGTATTTATGTAAGAATGTATATATTCTCAGAATATATTTATGTAAGCAATTTAGGCAGCTTCAAACCAGGGAAATTTACCTGTTAGTTTGAAACAATATACTTGTTTGTGTCATCATGTACTTAAAGCAATTCTTAGATTCCGAACTCTGGGAGACATTTCTTATGACTACGTTTAAATTCCATGTCTGGAGGTGGTGTAATAATATTTGAGATACAGAGTTTGGCCTTCTGTGCTTTATCTATGACTAACTGAAAAGACTCTTGGAGAAACACCGGGAGTTTTCTGAAGTGTCAAAACAGATGAAACAGAGACTTCAAAAGAAAACAGAGTGCTTTGTTGTTGTGTGTAACTTTCTTTGACTCTTGAGTTCCAGGAAAGTTGTTCATGACACTTGGGTACCGACCTTTTCTTTGAGATTTCCACTCAAAAGCAAACAGTTGATTGATTTTTGATGCCACCTTCTGGCTACTACAAAAACTTCAGCTTATAAAGGTTATGTTAAGACTACTTTGAACATTGTCTGATGCGGCACCATTGCCAAATTAGAAAGACTGAAATGCCTCCCCCCATGAGGTTCAGATAAGGAAACAGGAGAGATTAAGAGGACAAAGCTCTTCTATTTAAGTTTTTCTATTGATACCTAATATTAGTACATATTTATGGGGTACATATGACATTTTATTATGTGTATGAAATGTGTAATGATCAAGTCAGGGTATTTAGGATATCCATCACCCAAGTAATCATCATTTGTATGTGGGGAGAACATTTCAAGTCCTCGCTTCTGACTATTTTGAAATATACACTGCATTGTTGCTAACTATAGTCACCTTACTGTGCTATCTAACATTTGAACTTATTCCCGGATAGAATGGGAGGCCATTATCTTAAGTGGAATAACAGACACAGAAAGACAAATACAGTATGTTCTCACTTACAAGTGGGAGCTAAATAATGTGTACACATGGAAGCAGAGTGTGGAATGATGGACAGTGGAGACTGGGGGTTGGGCTTGGGAGGGGGTGGATGATGGGAGGTGCTTGGTGGCTACAGTGTGCATTGCTCCCATGATGGATGCACTGAAGGCCACCATGCAATATATTAATATCAACATAGCAAAATTGCACTTGTACCCCATGAATATATACACATAAAAAATAAAGAGAAAAAAAGAACTTATTCCTTCTGTCTGGCTGTATGTTTGTACCCACTAACTAAACTCTCTTCATCCCCCTCCCTGCTGCACACACACCCTTCCCAGCTTCTGGTATCATTCTGCTCTCTACCTCCATGAGATCAACTTTTCTAGTTCCCACTTCTAAGTGAGAACATGCGATGTTTGTT